ATGCTATCTTCTCGTTCTCTCTGCCGGCCTGATCCCACCACCATTTGCCGCCTCTCCCTCTCTCCCGACGACCTTCTTCCTTCTTTCGATCCCATTCGTCCTCTTCGAAATCACTGCTTTTCTTATATGATCTCTTTCTATATCATCCATGTCAAATTTCTGATTCGACTCGAATGAGAGAGGAGAGGATAATTGAGATCTGTTTTTTTTCGGCAAAAAAAAACAAAGCGGTCCAATGAGGCGTTGACACATGGCATCGATGACCCGTCTCACGCGTCTCTCCCCATGAGACGACTCAGAGCATAATTTAATAAATAATTAGTTTTTATTATTTTGATTAATTTTTAATCACATGATACTCCTAGAGTATCACGGATAATGATGGCCTTAATCATCATGCTCTTAGCCTTTATAATAAGATACGTCGGCCTTCTTTATAGATTTCGCTACGTCGGAGACAATTTCATAAACAACTAGTAATCTAGTATATTGGAACATTGTCCGGAAATGACAAACTATTTATTAAAAAAAAACCCCAATAGAGTGGTATTATTCAAGCAATATGATGTTATTGAGTCGATCAAATTTTATTTTTACAGTTTGGTTTTTTCCATATATAGATATTGTTCAAGCAATGTGATATTTATAGACACTAGGTTTGAGAAACCAAATCTTAACGTATTATTTATGAATTATTTCCCCTAGTGATAATAAAACTAATAATAAATGAATGATCGAAGAAGCTGTTTTCGTACGGTTTCTCGGATTCTCTTTCGCTTGTTACACTAATCAATTCGAATAATGTTATCAACGAATTAAAATCGATCATTTATGACATAAGTTGCCGTAGGGAAGATTTCACTTCTATCTCTTTTATCTTTATTCCACGTTCGGAAAATGTTTTAGTCGATATTTTAGCTAAATTTGGTATTCTAAATTTGAACTATTACCCCTAGTTTGAAGCGTTAAGATGATAATACTAATCCGTCAACTTCAATTTCGTGTCTCCATGACCTTCGTTTACGTTGTAGGAACTAGGAAGGACCTTTAGTCCATTCCAAAGGCTTACGTCACCAAATATTTTTCTTTTTTTCTTGGATAAATTAATATTTTGTTCGTATTTCATTCGTCCATTTGGATAGTAATTAATGCCAAATTATCATTTAGCGTCTATGTCTGTCCATTTGGCAAAGAACAAACTTTTTTGATGATTAACAAGCAAATATGAACATGTTAAAATGCTTCAATATTTGGAAGGAAAAATCATTTAAAAGTACACGAAGTCTACTCCAACGCATGACTACACATCCAAACTAATGACTACACATCCAAACTAAATTACTGTATCAAAATCTACACTAAGTATTGAATTTGCATGATAACATTTACGAACAAACATAGGTTATGTGGCTAACATCATAACCATCACTTTTGTCACGGTTTTGGTGTACCGCACGATGGAACTGGTAAAGTCCGATTAGACCAACAAAAAAAATATTTGACCCGGTTAATTTAATCTGGAACCATTTGAATTGTCCCAAACTAAGTCAATTTTTAACCAAACAAAACCAAACCAGTCTCATGAGGTATTCTCTATC